TTCAATTTGTTTGTGTGAGTGTTGGTTGGTGAATATATGTTGAAGACAACGTGAAAAAAGGTGTCCTCTGGGGCATCCATAAAAAAAGACAAGAAAAGAAAAGAGAAAGAAAAGAGAAATGCTAAAGAAAATGGTCCAATAATCTCCCTATCGTAGGCGAAGGAGAACTGTTCTATGATATCCTTCGCCTTGCCGTTGTCATTTGTCCCGGCACTCCAGACAAATAAGGACACGTCATCCATTAGGCGTGGACTAAATAGCATTGTTGCACCTTTGTTTTCTTCTTTTTTTTTGTTTAATCCCAAATTGTTTATGCATTAACTTTCTTGTGTTCATCCGATTCCATCAGGATTCAAACTCTCATCATGATCTCTGTGTTTACTAGCAGGTACATGTGTGTGTGTGTGTGTACCATTCAGCCATATGGGCTAGGTGCGTTGCATTAAATATATCTATCTATCTGTCTATCTATCTATCTATCTATCTATCTATCTATCTATCTATAAGGTGGATTATCACTTACTTAGTGTAATCACGTCAGTTAGGGGATTCTGCAGACTGTTGAGGGTTCAGCCTCCTCCGGATGAGTAGGGAGGTGAAACTCCGACGAAACAGTTTGTCACAGCCCCTCGTTTGTTGTCCCCTTCTCCCTCTTGTCCCTCTTTGCCTACGGTTTACCGGGCAGGGCAGCTCTGTTTGAAGATATATGTATATTGTCAAACAGAACTGCCCGGTAAACCGTAGGCAGAGAGGGAGAAGAGGACATCTATATTTGATGATGTCCTTACCTTTGGTAGTCTGCCACCATCGCCAGCCTGTTATGGTCTTGAGTGGAAGGAGACCACTGCTGCTGATGGCTCGTGCACCCTTTTGCAGACACGAGCAGACGGATCTCGCCGATCGAGTGTGTTTGATAAGACTGTTGCATGGGGTTTTCCTGTTATACGATATCCTAGTGCATCATCAAACATTCCATCTCATCAGCCTGCAGGTGTGTTCACCGGCCAGCTCACGCGGTTTGAGCAGATTTGTGACAATTGGCATATGATTTGATTTCAGAAGTCTGCGGCAACCATGCTTGTCCGCCGTTTGCTTTCCTGTGGCCATGCTTCTTCGACATTGGCCTGAGGATGAACTTGTTACACTCGTGCTCGCCAGCATCGGCACCATATACGTGTGACTTGACTTACACAATGGTTTCGCCGCATGCTTCGCTGGTCCACGCATTGTCCTCTTCCACCTTCTCCTCGCCTTTCTCTCCCTTCTTCTTCTCCCTCTCCCCCTCCTCCTCCCCCTTCCTCTTTTCCATCTTCTCATCCTCCTCCCCCTCCCCCTTCTTGGCCATCTTCCCCTTCCCTTTCTTCCCCCTCCTCCCCTCCACCTCCCCCTTCTCCTCCTCCTCCTCCTTCTCCTCCTCCTCCTCCTTCCCCTTCCCCTTCCCCTTCCCCTC